ATTTTAAATAATTCTGCCAACTAGACAAGAGTTAATTATATAATAAGTAATTATATTTGTACATAGTAATGGATCGCCACTAATGGCATAAATTCATCTTCTAGAAAATATATTTATATTTATTAACAAGCTTCTTAGAAATTCTGACTATGACGTAGTCAGTAAACCTGTACATGTTAGTAAAAATAATTAATGACTTACAATATAGAGATATCCATCACCTAGGTTTAAATAAATTGCGCAATGTAAGGTTTGACACGAAAACGGTTTGATTACTTACTGTGTGCTGCTGTTTTTTAAAGATTCAGTTACGACAGGTACGAGTCTGACTTATTTATTTTTTGAATTATCTGGTTTGCAACCCAAGCATAATTTGATGAGTTAAGTTAACGAACTCTTAACATTGAGTTTCGGAATATTAACTAAGTCTCGACGGAATTTTGAATCTTGTTCAACTGATTAAGTGGGTACTCCTTTTACCAGTAGTTATTGCCTCGGATGTAAGGAGGAAATACCAGCTATATAGTAATAAAACAGTTATGTTGAAAGGTGGCTTGTAAGGCAGTTTTTTTTCCGGAAGTTCGAACCGCTTATCACGGCTGTTCGGCTTATTCATTTTGATAGGAGGCAACTTTCGCTGTTTAAGCACCGTCTGCCATTTTTGTACTTTGTCTAATTCTTACCTTCGTCCAGACAATCCAGTCTTTTAAATCTCGAAAGTTAACTTTAAGATCGTTTGGCGTAGATTCACAGAACAGTCCACTTTCTCTAAGACGTTGGACACCTTTGGTACCGGCAGTAAGCGTCCGTCCGTCGAATAAATGGAGTCAAGAAAGGCAGGGACCAACTCTAGGTGTCCGTTTTACAGAAATGTTCGTCTTATAGAGATGCCAGTTAACAGATAATCAACTGTATTCTTTCTTATTCATGAGCCTCAGTGATCTGCTGTTGATTATTCAAGATCCTAAAAGACCATGTTTGGGGACCAGGAGATAAAACACTACATGTAGGGCTGATGAATGACTCCCAATTTGTGGACATCGCTTGATCGTTTATTAAAGGCGCGGCTCGGCCTTTTACAATTGTGAGTGAAGATAGCGACAGAACTCAGAGCAAAACATTCAAAGTCAAGAATATGCTCTACACACACAAATTTAATTATATACTGAAAGATACGTTCTAGAGTGATTTTAAGTAACCCGTAAAATTGCTAGTAGAATACTACGCACTATTACACCTCCTTTCGAATTAGCGAACCTCTCCCTCGCTATCGACTTTTGAATTAAATAAGCCCCTAGGGCGCTTATTTGGGCACAAACGGTATTTTTACATTTTAAGTTGTTGTATAATTCGTAACACCCTTACGGTACCTATGAACGGGTTTACACAAAAACGTGCTCTATGAACATTCATTCGTAAAATATATATCACAGGTTTAACTGAACCCTATGCACTGAACACATTGACTGTCTGACAGAGCCGACGCACTTGTTATACATAGAACCCTATATTCATTATTTTATTGCGGAAGTTCAGTAGAAGTTTTAGATTTTCATGCATTGAGACCCCTCGCTATCACGTGACATAACTTTGTTTCAAGTGATTGCACAAGACTAAAAGAACAGTGTATTTCGCAATACTGTATAAAGGTCAAACCTTCATCTTTTATATTTCCCTCCAGCGGAAAAAATTTCCGGTTAGTTTCGTAATTTTAAATAATTCTGCCAACTAGACAAGAGTAATTGAGTAATTTATTTTAATTAGACATAGTAATACTTCGGCACTAATGGGATAAATTCAGCTTCTAGAAAATATATTTATATATAATAACAAGCTTCTTAGAAATTCTGACTATGACGTAGTCAGTAAACCTGTTAGTAAAAATAACTAATGACTAAAGATATCCATCACCTAGGTTTAAGTAAATTGCGCAATGTAAGGTTTGCCACAAGAGCGGTTTGTTGACTTGCTGAGTGTGTGCTGCCCTGTTTTTTAAAGATTCAGTTACGACAGGTACGAGTCTGACTTATTTATTTTTTGAATTATCTGGTTTGCAACCCAAGCATAATTTGGTGAGTTAAGTTAACAGACTCTTAACATCGGGTTTCGGAATATTAAGTCTCGACGGAATTTTGAATCTTGTCCAACTGGTTAAGTGGGTACTCCTTTTACTAGTAGTTATTGCCTCGGATGTAAAGAGGAAATACCAGCTATATAGTAGTAAAACAGTTATGTTGAAAGGTGGCTGGTAAGGCAGTTTTTTTTCCGGACGGTCGAACTGCTTATCACGGCTGCTCGACTTATTCACTTTGATCACAGGGAGCCCACAATCTGTTTGTGTAGCCGATTGTTATTTTATAGTAAATGTACTGGATTTACCGTTTGCTTCACCTATAGCGATATATCGCTAACTATGTATATAAATCAATGATAAATAAATGTTGAATTACCTTACCTGTGGTATATAGTCGTCCTTTTACCTCCAAAGCGGTTTTTTGAGCGATTTTGAAGGAGTTTGAGTTCGCCGTTGACTGACAACGCCGAACTCAAACTCCTTCAAAATCGCTCAAAAAAACCGCTTTTGAGGCAAAAGGACGACTATACACCACAGGTAAGGTAATTCAACGTTTATTTATCATTGATTTATATACATAGTTAGCGATATATCGCTATAGGTGAAGCAAACGGTAAATCCAGTACATTTACTATAAAATAACAATCGACTACACAAACAGATTGTGTGGGCCCCCTGTGCTTTGATAGGAGGCAACTTTCGCTGTTTAAGCACCTTCCACTCACCGCCCCTCCCGTCTCTTCCCAATCTACCCCACCCAGGGGCCGCATTGGACTAAGTAATGATACATCGCAGCACCAAATTAACCAGTTAGGTAAACTGTTTAAAATTATACTAAATCATGCTTTACACCAGCCTACAGTTGAAATATCGTGAGAATTGCCTTGCAAGATTACATCCCACCCACACGGAACCATTTGGAAGGCTTCCAATGTTGCGCAAGTGTTGCGAGAAAGTATTAAACAAGTAAAGCCGGTTGAATCAAACATGCGTGTTTTAGTCTTGTAGAGTTTACAGCCGAAAGTAGCATCAGGATGGCCTGTAACGTTATGACACGATGCCGCATTAGACAAGTAGGCTCGATGAGTTGGAAAATAAAAACTCGCTGAAAATTGGCGATAATTTAAGAAGAAAAAAGGTAAATGGGAAAAACAATTCCACGAGCTGTGTTATATTTGAACAGGGAATGTTCTTGCATTGCACACGGCTGTAAGGATACGTCAGTGGGCTTGGTGAAAACTAATCTGGTCCAACTTGCTGATTCATTTGCTTTCTTTTTATCTCAATATTATAACTTCTCAACAAAACCAGTTGAGCAGGTAAAAATAAATGTAACTTTGAAGGCTTGATTGCGCAAAACAAGGCCATGTACAACAGCAATATCCAGCACTCGTTCATCAAGTAAGCTTGGATCCGTAAGCTTTATATACTGCATGTCTTTTATTCTTTTGTCATTTTCCGTGTTTATCTTACGATATCATAGCATGAAAATAAGAGTATTTTTCTACAGGTGTCGATGTATATTGGTATTTACATTCTTGAATGTTCGATTTTTGTAACACTTCTAAATTGAGCAATCATTAAGGTTAAAATTTTAAAAGGCTCAACATTTAAAGCAGTTTAGCACTAAGTAAGCTTGCGGATTCCTTCAAGGCGCTTTCTTCTGAGACTCAAACAGTGAAGAGTACTTTCAGAGCTTTTGGAGACTTAGATTTGTGGTACAATTTGATGAAATTTACCTGGCTTTGACTCGAAAGGCACGCTATAACGGTGCTCCTAAAAGCCTCTTTGCTGAGTTGATTTTTTATTTGCTTCATTTTCCGTTAACTGTAACACTGTTAAACGAGATTTAACAAGGTGCTGAATTGCGCAAAGCACAAACACGTTTTGCTAACAATTCAAATGATCTTGCTATATCTCGCTCTATTTTATCAACGATATTTGAAGGTTCGAAGCACGCTTCTAATTGGAGAACTAACAGCGCGGAGGCTGTTCCCATGCGTTACATACATATATGAGGCCTGCTCAGCATTGTATCATAGAGTCTCTTGCTTCACTAAAAGCTACAGGAGATTTGATATCCTTCCTGCTTACTACAGAAATTCATGTTTCTCTTCTTCGATGCGCACAAAGAGGAAAAGTAAAGCCGAATAACAGAGTTATCAGCGGGTATCACTCCTGAACTGTTAGAACATAGAACGGAACTCAGTTTATGCCATTCTTACTCAAATGGCTTGAAATTTGGTTTGCAGAAGGTACTTCTTGGTAGATCTCTTTGATTTGTCTGACTTTAGGCGCTCATTTTATTCGCGTATAAAACGGGTTGTTGAGCTCTACCAAGTATAAAACTCTTTGAGAGCAGTATATATAATAAGGTTTAACAAAGTTGAGACCTGTGGATCAATCAGGCAACTCGTTTGCCTACGATATTTCTGGCGAGTTGTCGATAGATATGGTCATCATTAGTTTGATATATAACAAAGAAAAAAACAACAACAACAAAGAAAGTTTAAATGTCCTGAGACACTCAAAATCTGGTGTGGCCATAGCTACTGACAGAATCACAATTCAGTGAAGTAACGACCTCACAACTTTTGTTGCATCACTACATAGTTAAGTCTTGTCTTGTCTACACATGTACAAATGACTTACTGTGGAAATGTTAAAGATTCTAGATCTCATCGATGATTCCACAATTCTCAAATTAAAGCTTATGACTTCTTGATTAACACGTTTTTCATTGTAATCTCTTAGCGGAATCGATGGCATATTTTCTTCACAAATTTCATTTACAAGTTTGAAAAGCACAAGCAAGGGAAAGCTTGCTAAGTCTTCGTTTGGATCTCTTTTGTAATTTTCAGTAAGCCAGCTGTACATTGAGATATACAGAGACGTTCAATTGCCAGTTGATGTTGACTCTCCGATCATGAATACGGCAGTGAGAAGAAATGCTTCTGTTATGACAAGAAACTTCTGCATTTCGGCGCAAGGAGAGCCTGTTCTAGATCAGGAGTCTTCATGGAATTTCAACCAAGTTACTAACCAAACAGAGGTGGGTGGAATTGGGCAATTAAATCCGAGGCATTGTGAGAGAAACAACACTGGACAACGTAGTACTACTGTTATACTGTTCCTTTATACAAAATATGAAAAAAAAAACTACTTAACTTGATGGAGCTTTCCTTAACTCTTAGCCAAGATTTAGACGATTTTCATTTCATTTTGAGCTACTCTCCCTGTTTAAAAGCCCCTGCTTGGGGGTCAATTAGATCCAAATTAACATAAATCAGTTGACAGTATACATTCAGAACGGTGTGTAATTCTTGTAGTTCTTTTGCTGTTCAGGAATAGACCTTATTTTGTATGTTTTTCTTTCTTATTTCAGACCACTTGCTCTACCCCCAGAGACTGTTTCTTTTAATTAGTTATATCCACGCACGTAAGTGTTCATAACTTTGAAAAGACAACTGTGATTCCTTTAAGAACATCACATGGTCTGAATTGAAAAAAAAACTCACACACACACACAGGCAACTATTAAATTTCTGAACGGCAGAAAAATGTTCTCGATCGTAAATATGCCAGACAAATTAATTTTGCTCAGATTCAGTACAACATATTGGGAGCAAATCTGTACGTATAAGTTAACATTTTTCTCTGTATCCTCAGAATATAAATATGGAAAGAGGAGTACAAGTATGGGAACAACAAGCAAACCACTTCTCTTTGGAATACCGTACAAATTCGACGTGAGACATAAGTGTTCTTAATCATAAATGTTCAAACATTTTTCCTGACTTTTTTCCACGCTCGTTCAGTTGACAATCCCCTAACCTGAGATCCGGCTCAATTTTTGTTTCGCTTTGTAAACAACATTCCGGAGGGCAAGGCGAAACGATTTTAGTGCTGGCCGTTAGAGAGAATGTATGAGAACCGCTAAAATAGGGCCTGATCTCAGGTTAACAATCCCCTGGACCCGGTCATCTAGATTCTAAAATTCTTATTCTAGGCCAGACAGGCGATTAGTTTTTGCTTTTATCTACGATTCATTGTATTCATCTTCCTGTAGATACCGCTGTGACTATTGACTAGATAGTCAATAGGGTGTAATAACTGAGTATAGGAGTAAAAAGGCTCAATGATAGAAAAGAATTAAGCTTCATATAGAGGTCCCTAGATCCCGAAGACAGGATAACTTCCAGTGGCTGTTTGTCAGTCAATTCCTTTGGAGCTAACGCAGTTCCACATACCGATTGGAGCCTCCCTTTAAACTCCTTCCGCCAACTAATCTTTTCTAAATAAAAATATTTTATAAAGCTGTTTGTTTTGTGCATTTTTTAAATAGAATTTAGTTCTTTGTTACATTTAGCCGAATACATAAACAGCAATTTTATAATAAAGTATTATTTACTTAGGATCTGAGACTAAAACACCTATTTCCTCTATTAATCTACAGCGAAAGAAGATATATAGCACTTCAATTTTGGAGCAGTTATACTGATTTTACTGTCACCTTGTCAAACTGACTACTCCTACTTTTTTACTTTTCAGATCTACCTGTCCGTTTTGTGGTGGTCCCATTGCTCGCCAAATTCTTGGCCAAATTGCAGACGAGATTTTCAGCCAAATTTTCAGGAAAATTCCAAGTGAACTATAACTTACGAAACGTGCGTGCAATTACTATACCAAACTGCACATTAGTTACTCTTATCACAGAATTCTCACTGACTGAGTCTGTTCAGCACATTCACATGTAGATATATTTTCCGAGCTATGAAAGATTGAGCAATATATTTTCCTTTCCTCAGAAGTAGATGAATTTATAACATGCGCAGCGAAATTTTTTATTTATTTTGCCCAGATGAACTTATTTAGACAAGGTTTATCCGAGCATATTAAAGTATTACTCGGTTTTTACCGCTATCTTTATGAATTGGGAAATGACCCGTTTATTTTGAAAAACACTGACTATCGTAGTTCTCACTTGAAAGGATAAGACTTAATTTATTTCTAAACAACTCAATCAAGTAAACGGGCAAAACATTGCTTAGTTTTATACATGCTATTTTCCTAGAAACCAGTTGAGTGGAATATTATATAGCGCGCTATAGAGCCAGGAGTTTTGCAAAAATACATGCAGTGTATTTCATTCTTGAAATAATCTTTGCTACTAAAGGTGCTTTCGATTGACCTTAGCAGTCTAGAAGAGAAATTCTTTCTGGATTTTATTCCGGAAAGTTAAATCAATGGAACAAATAACGTGCAGCTATAGTTCGTCTAACAGAGTGAATTCAGCGATGTGGCTGACGTCTCCGGATTTTTATATCATACCATGCACTAATTAACATTCGTTGATGAGGGATGTTGCTTTTTTAAAGAAGGAAATCTAGGGGAAATTTTCCAGAGTGAACTAAACTGTCGTAGAGAGATGTATTGTTTTGTGTTTTGGAAAACTAAAAGAACACCGGACATCTGCCTCAGTGAAGAATTTTTACAGCATTGAGACGCTCTTTTCTTGTGGTTGGAAATATTTCGAAATATGTCAAAGAGTTTCTTCTCTGTTCCTTTTCTCACCGACTACGTTCGCTTTTGTTATTGTTAAAAGCGAGAAAAATTACATTATCATTCTGTCTAAAATGCAGTAATCCCACACTCTGTTCTCTCTCCCGGAGTATCAATAGATGTTCAGAATATTTTCAACTCATCCCGGAAACTCGAACTCGAACTCGAACTGGAACATTCGAACTCGAACGGATGTTCAGGATTATTCTTCGATATTCGCTTTCAGAATGAAGGTCAATCTAACTTTCATTCCTTTAAGCGAAGTAATTATTAAGGAAAATGTAAGTTCTAAATTTGCCATCACAAGTACTTAAGAGCGAATGCACAGAAAAATCGAGCAAACCGTGGCCACAGCTCGAAACCTAACCTACCTTCATTTTAAGTCTGTAATAAGGTTTTAATGAGTTTATAACACTGCTGAGGTTTAAACTTCAAAATGCGGCCGAATTTGGGAATTATTTGAGATTTTCGATTTCAACGGTCTGCGGGCCTAAAATTAGCAGCCGAACACGGCAATATAGCCTGGCGACAGAGATGAGCTGACTTTCATAAACGAGCGAATACATTGGCAATCTTCCACTTAAATCTCAAAAAACAGATATTAACAATTTCTAAACAGCACATTTTCTTAGATTTAGAGAATAAAATGTCGACGAACGAGCACAATTTTGAAACGTAATTTGCATAATGCTTATAAATACAACAATTTACCGCTAAAACCAAAATCGCATTTTCTATATGGGGGAATTCTCCAAATCACCCCAAATCCCGCTTACTACCCAATGAGATATAGTACTTCAACATTATCTGAAAGTTAGTCTGGTGTTCTTGCGAACGCTTGTAAAATAGATTAATTATTTTGAGGTTATTTTGCCCCAAACAACCGCTAATTGACCCCAGGGTCAGTTGACACATGCACGTCACCTTAGTTTCATGCATCGATTTGAGCTCGTTAAAAGGGAGAAACTAACAAGATTCTTTTAATATGTACCTGTTTTAATGAAATACGCGCAATCTTCAAAAGGAGAGGCCGTTCAATGGGTAATTTCTGTTCTTGAGCAGTCTTCAGCACGGCGTCTGCGAGTGGACCTGCTAGGTCTGTTTTCCCGTGACTGCGAAATCAGAATAACATCATGAAATAATTCTCGCTCGAACCTTCGTAAATGAATCAGCTTTGCAGTGCCTTACCTGAGATAAAAAGTGGGCCGAATAGGAAAACATTCTAGCGCAATTTGGATCCTTTGCAGCACGTACTGTACTCGCTAAGTGGCGATGGTATCAATGACTTTTAATTAGTTACTCACTTCCGATTGCGTGACCAGGCAATTATCGATTGTCTCCTGCGGAAAATAAGTGCACGGGAAACCAAAGCTTTCGGGATACAGTAAATTCATTTTCCTGTATGACCAGGTGTCCTTTTGTCCTATTTTAAAAGCGGTTGACTAAGATGATTAGCAAACATACTGTCCCACTTTTAAAAATGGTACAGTAACTGAATGTTCTGTTCTTCTGATTTTACCCCCAACCCCGGAGTGTTCAGAAGATATATTTGCAGTACGCATGAAAGGCGAATGGATTAAATTTTAAGGTTCAAGGCGTTTTTAAGGCATGGGTTACCAGTGGATTAGTCAGACTTGTCATAAGGTGCATTGAACAGAAAACTACAGGCATGATATCTCTGCTATTGTATGTCCATTAAGTGATTTTCCACCAAACATTATTTTTTGACTTTTTTACCCCAAACGTTTTTTCCGTTCAATTCTTATCTATGAGATCTAAACTTAGTTAAATTTCTGTAATTTGTTTTTAAATGCAATTCTGCAAACAACTAAGTATTTAATTTGGCGTAAAAGCAACATGAAATTGTACTGTTTAGCCGTAAATCATTAAAAAGAGAAAGCATCATGCTTTCTCTTTTCAAGTCTATTAGGACTTAATTAAGCAATGGCATTGCTTAAGTCCTAGTAGTTGTTCTCCATGTCTGCTAAGGAGGAAATAGTTTGCTCTTTTCAAGAAATTGTTCTTGCCCATTGCGGTTTCAAACCAAGGATAGCAGCAAGTCTGTCGTGGTCATATACTGCTACTTCAGTGCAAACGAAGCATAGGCGCACAAGTCAGCGCTTGCGTTTAGTCAGGTGCCGAAAATGAAGTGGAAACTTAACCCCAAGGGCGTCCATGTTCGCTGCGGCTCGAAAAGGTAGAATCAGTTGTGCAGTAAAAAGTAATGCGAAAAACCTGCGGGGGCTGGGGAAAGAAAGGCGTCTTATTTTTCTTTGGCTTGTTCTATTTTCGCGACGTGGTACAGGCTGCGAAATACTGACAAGCTCAGTATATGTCTTCACCACCGAGAGTCACTTGCCCTTAGCCGGACACGCCCCTCACGTATCCTGTTTCGTTCCTAAAGTTATTTCAAAGCACAGAACCAAACCTAATTAGCGGCGGAAGGCAGAAAGGGGGATGAGCAAACGGATGTCACAGCATATTTTGCAAGAAACTGGTATCCTTGTGCCTATCGGCTCAGGAACGATTGATTACTACTAGAATTAATATCAGGGTCAGAATTTGAGTGCTACAATGGGACGGAAGGAAGAAAAGGAAACCGCCGCGCACACCTGTTAAGTCTTTTATAAACTTTCTCGTCCTCACGGTTTCAAAGAAGGGCGTTGTGGCTGCTATTTAATTTACAGTATCTGTTGCAGGCGTCGAATTAATCTTACAGCAACTGGAAACGTGGCCACGCCTGCTGAAACTGAGATTGCTTGTAGGATGAACGACTATAGTTTGGTATATGCACGAGCGCGTTTTGTCCAGTGAAGTGAGTGCGTAGTTTTTCTTAACGAAGGGATGGGGTGGGTCAAGTGAGTAGTTCGGGGAAAGTTTGCTCTCTTTAGCGCAGGGGGGGCGTTTAGCGGTTATATATTTGTTGATAGCAGGAGTTCTGGCCTGGATAGAGTCGTTGTAAAGCTATTTTTGCTTCGGAGTATCGGTTTACCGGAAGCTGAGCAAGGAAAAGTCAATGGTGCATTTATGGAATAATAATAGAGATTCTCATGGTCTAACAGTGCGAAGATTAGACTTCTGGTAAGGTGGCAACGATCAAGGCCCGCATTATAATTCATGATAATTGAAGGTCATGATGTGGAAAAAGCGACTGAAATGGTGGATGCCATGCAATCCTCTCGGGTGGGGGGCGGCGTACCTGGCCTTAACAGTTGCCCCTGCGACAGAAGGCAAGCATGCCCAGGATGTCCACGGGTTGCTAAATGAGACCGTCGCTTTCTTAGTACCCATTCCCTGTTTTATAATTAGACCCGGGCAAATTTCTCGAGATTGCACCATCATTTTGGGCTTAAACCTTCCAAAGTCCAACAATAATAGCGCATGTTCGCGACGGTTTTTTAAGTCAGTCAAGTTCTTAAACCAGGCCTTAAACGGCCAGTTTTAAGTGTCGATAACAGTTAAAAAGGCATACAAGCCTCATGCAAAAGACAGTGGAGAGGAAGTGCACATCCGCGCGTGAAGGGGAAAAAGGAGTAGCCCACAGTTATTTAGGGGTGGATCTTTCGAAACATTCTTATACTCTTGGACAGATGCATTGTTTAAAGTTTTAGACAAACCAGGTGTAAATTTATAGTAACAAACTGTTAAATATACATCAGCAAGATTTTGCGAATCCTATTTTTCGCTGGAGACTATCGTTTACTGGCTGGTCACGCAATCAAAGGTAACGTACTTTCCCACGTTTGTTTACTCGGCCTTTCGCTCCGGCAATGCACTGCGCTCCACAAAGGATCCAAATTGCGCTAGAAATGTTTTGCTATTCGACACACTTTTTATCTCAGGTAAGGCACGGCAAAGCTGATTCACTTACGAAGATTCGAGGGAGAATTATTTCTTGATGTTATTCTGATTTCGCAGTCACGGGAAAACAGACCTAGACTCAGGTCCACTCGCAGACGCCATGCTGCAATCTACAAGATCTCAAGAACAGAAATTACCCATTAAACGGCCTCTCCTTTTGAAGATTGCGTGTATTTCATTAAAACAGGTACATATTAAAAGAATCTTGTTAGTTTCTCCCTTTTAACGAGCTCA